CTTCCGTCGCATCTCTGAGTCGCGTTGATGCATGATACGGAGTGTACTCGGAGCTCTTTCATTGATAAGTAGCAGGGAAACTTATTGAATCCGCAGGCTGCAAGCATAAATATACTACTCGAACGGAAAGTCTGTTGCATACTGTCGCAAAACTCCTCGTCGAAGTTGCTGCCATCGAAACAATCGTCAACGACGCCGTTGCAGCGCTGGTCCAGCGGGATGCAAGTACCCTCAAGGAGACATGCAAATTGAGTGTAATCGCAGGTGGCTAGACGAAATGATTTTGCAAAGAGTGTAGCAATGTTGGCCGGAGTTACTTACGACAGTTGTTTTCGTCTTCACCGTCTGTACAGTCGATTCGACCGTCGCACCTCTTTGCGACTGCAATACACCGCTGCGGGTCGGAACAGCAAGCAAATTCGTTTAGCTTGCAGCTGCTTTTGACCTCTGAGAAAATACTGCAGAATTGGCAGTGTCGTAAGTATAGGATTCAAAACAATCAGCTTTGTTTTCTAAGTGAAGCTGCTTGCCAATGTTTTAGAGAAGTGCGCAGTATTGCATCTTAAGCATAGTCTTAAAGAGAAGACGGTGCCCGACAATCGGCGGCATGGAAACAGTCAACTATTCAACGATAAAGATGGGTTTTGAGATGTAGGTGTGCAGATCAAGGCGCTAGTTGCAGGTTATCCTTCTAATGAGGCTACCACGTAAACATTACTGTAGTTTCGTACGCCAGGGTATGTCAGATGAGCGATGACTCCTCAGGACCAATTTCGTGGCATATTACACCGCCCTTAGCATCTGGTTGCGTACGGGGGTGTAGACGTTGATGCAGGCAACGGCTTCGTGGAATTTGAGCACATGTAATGCCAGATGTATGTTGCGTCATTTTGTTCGCTAGAGCCACTTAAGCACCTAGCTCCAACAAAGAGGCATGCAATACGCAGTAAGGTCTGGTCTTGGAGAAGTTATGCGGTACCTGAAATACTCCGGCATACGATTATACTTTGATGTTTATTCGGTAGCAGCTTGTGATACATCATTCGTGATAAGCGCGAAGTGACTGTAGGGGTTGAAAACACGCGAGAGGTGTCTGGCTTTGTAGCTCCTGAAATATGATGGAGCCGACGAGCGCTTAAAATCTGAGCCCCACCACGCAACCATGTACCAAGGGACGGTTCAGTATGTCGTGAAATCTGACTTCCGAGAAGTCACGTGTTTTTAATAAGGCCGTTTTATTACATCTTCCCTAAGATACGCTTGCTTTGTTGCATTTGCTCTATCGTGTAAGTCTCGTTATAGCACACACAGCTATGATGCGGTCAATTCTTTGAATTTTCCTTATGTGATGATGTTCTTGATTTAGCACTCTGGCTCTTCATACCAAAGTTCATGCCACATGTGTTAAGCAATTTTGAATCATATGCTAAAGTTTTGAACAATGGATTTACAGCGTTGCTGAAAAAAATCAAAATTATACGTTGAGTTAACGACAACGAACTGCTGGTCGTTGCTATAAAGGCAGTGAATCTAGATTGCCTGGATGACTACGAGCATAAAGGAACCTTCGGCACCTACTGCGGTGAGGGTAAGAAACAAACGAAATGAATCATGATCACAACCAGAGCAACAACAGAGAAAACTGCATAAGTAAGTATTTCAGTACTTGCTTTAAAATGAAGAGCAGCTAAGTTAACTAAACAGAAAATATTAAGGTATCAAAAACGATATGTCGACCTATGTTTCATGAAGCTACACTGCTTATCAATATGTACCTTGAAGTCGACTGGTCGGAAATGTATGGTATGTTGGACGATGAAATTAATAGTATTCGAGAATTTACTCTGTCATCTAAGCAACCTGAAAACCAAGAAATTTGAGAAACCTGACAAATCGTAAGCTACATATCCATTATTGGCATGGCGAAACGGACAAAAATTATTAAGAAACGTAAGCCAAGCATAAATGCTTAGTTCCTTGTTTCGTAATGCAGTTTGAAACGAATTCCCTACCTCGCAAGATTTGTAAAAATCATCTATAGTCATAATTGATTTGGAGAGTCTAAGAAACAGACTTACCACAGTTCAGTATTGGATCATACTGAGGACACTGTTTGATGTTATACTTGTAATTGCAAGTCAAAATCGCGATGTCGAACGCTTCGGCTGGATTACTGCATTGATGGCGAAATGTCACGCCCATCGAACAGCGATAGAAATCTGCGGAACAAGAGGTATTGCCAATGAAGTGGTCCATTCGAACGAGTTTTAAGGCAGATAAATGCAGATCTGAATAAAACGAGTAATTACAGTAATTTATAGGAAAGAAGTCATGGTTTTGGACACTCGCATCCAATGGCGTTAAATTTTTCGAAGATTCGGTAGCCATTCTTAAGACTCCTTTTGGCTGAAGGTATTCGCCGATCATAGGAGAAATATTTTCGTATTCTGCGCCATCAACAATGGGACGGAACTGCCGATTCAGCACAAATTCAGAATTTCCAGCATTCGTGATGCTTTCCATGCCTAGTCCGTCAAACGTTGCGGGTTCGATCGAGCC